ACAGAAGTTCCAGAGCTTGTACCATAGTCTGAGCTGGAGGAGGCTGTCAGAAAAAAAAAAAAAAAAGACCGTTAGGGAAATATTGACTCGAAAATCCCAGATGAGTCCAGAATCCGGGCGACGGTGGCACAGGAGTTAAGTGCTCGCCCAGTAATTGGTAGGTTGCAGGTTCGAGCCCCGCTCACTCTGTTGCTGTCGTTGTGTCCTTGGGCAAGACACTTAACCCACGTTGCCTGCTGGTGGTGGTCGGAGGGACCGGTGGCGCCAGTGGTCGGCAGCCTCGCCTCTGTCAGTGCGCCCCAGGGCAGCTGTGGCTACATCGTAGCTCATCACCACCAGTGTGTGAATGGGTGAATGACCGATTGTGTTGTAAAGCGCCTTGGGGGGTTCCAGGACACTAGAAGGCGCTATATCAAATACAGGCCATTTCCCATTTATCATATCCGAAATGTGAGCCACTGATTGTTGTGAGTTGCCTCTTTTTTCCAAAGCCAGGTATTATTCATGAGAATGAAAATGTAGCACGACTCCCTTGACCTGGGGGAGGATGCGTGTGTAACTCACCGAGAGGAAGCTGAACCGCAGCACGTTGTCGATGCCTAAAGCTTTGAGTTGCAGGATGACAGGGGCCAAATTGGAGCGCTGCATTTCTGGAACAGTAGAGGCCGGCAGTTTCTCAAAGTCCTCCTCTGAAACAAACATCAAATATGGTAGTGAATGATCAGCATTAGGAAATCTGCTTCAGCAGCTTTGTACATACCCGTGTAGAGCCTGAAGCACTTGCCAGGGCGGTTCCGTCCGGCTCGGCCTGCCCTCTGGCTGGCTGAAGCCTTGGAGATGGGCGTGACCACCAGAGATTCGATGGCCGTGCAAGGATTGTACGCACGCAGCTTCACAAATGCACAGTCGATGACGAATACTATTCCACTTATTGTGATGGAGGTTTCAGCGATGTTAGTGGCCACCACAATCTGGAAAGGAAATCAGAAAACTCTTAACTTAACTGCTAATTCTTTACTGGATTTCTCACTTTGATCTTTTTGATGCTGCTCAGATTTTAAAATACGAAACCAAAGAACAAACAACTAAAAAAACAAGCAGAAGAACTTTTCTCTAAATAAAAACAATAAAAAGGTCACCTTGCGGACATTAGAAGGTGCTCTCTCAAAGACCTTCATCTGATCGGCATAGGGAAGTCCAGAGTACATGGGCAAAATCCTCAGGTGTTTCTTCAGACCGTACCGAGATAAAGCCCTGGCCTGCTCCTGCAGAAGAGACACCACCTTCTCCACCTCCTCCTAAAGTGGATCACATTACCACGGTTTAATCTCACCGATAAAACTTCACTTTCGGAACAGAAACATTTTTTCTCTGACCTGTCCAGTGAGGAAAGCCAGGATATCCCCATCCTCCTCCGACTCGTGGATCTTCATCACGGTCTCTACCGTGGCCTTCACGTAATCTGGGACGGGACTAGAAGTATACCCGATTATTAGAGGACATTTTCAGAGTTAAACACGGTATTTTCCCGAATTTGGACTGTGTCTGTACTACCTGACCGTGTAGAAGACATCTACTGGAAAAGTGCGTCCCTCTACTGTTAGAATGGCACTTGTGTCCTTGTTTGGATCCCCGGAGTCATTCAGGTTAAAGAATTCATGGAAGTTCTTCAAAAAAACAGCAACATCAAAGGATTTAGAGATTTCATATAATTACTTCAACAGTTTCTTCTTCTACTGCAGAAAAATCAGAGTTATCCTCAACCAGACGACTAGAACAGCATACAACCTATTTAGATGAAAGCTTCTTTTGTCTGATAAGACACAAATGAGGTGGCTTTCAGATGTTTCCAGAATTTTTATCCATCATTTCTCACTAATCAAGCCTATCTGCTCATCTTAATGAGGCAGTCACCTTGGCATCCAGGGTGGCAGAGGCCACAATCACCCGTAGGTCTCTTCGTTTCTTCTGAATCTGAGAATTCAGACACAAACGGGATGAGTAAAGTAAACGTGCACAGGAAAAAGTCTTTCTGATGTTGCTGACATCACCTTCTTCAGCAGACCAATAGCTATGTCTGTGTAGAGAGTTCTCTCATGTGCTTCATCCAGCATCAACACACTACAGGTGAAAAAATAGAACATTCGTGTCATCATTCATTTAAATCAGGGGTATTGCACCCTATAAAACGGTACTATCTCATCTCATGACTTTTATTTACCTGTACTTTTTCAAAAGAGGATCAGCCATCATCTCTCTCACTAGCATGCCATCTGTTAGAAACTAAAACACACAAACATTACAAAACAACTAATCAAAGCAGAGACAGCCATGAACTCTCCAGCAGCTACCTTAACCCTTGTGGCATGGGGATCAGAGCAGTCATCGAACCGGATGGTGTAGCCAACCTCGTGTCCCAGCAGGGCCCCTCGCTCCTCTGCAACACGGTTAGCCACCTATTATTAGGAAATAGCGAGGAAATGGACAACTGTTAAAGCAGGCGTGTATCCGTTGTGAGGAACTGAATTTGCCTGCAGCTAGATGACACTGACAAAGCTGTGAATAAGGACATCAGCATGGTTCTTACAGAGATTGCAGCCACACGTCGAGGCTGCGTCACTCCAATCACTTTCCCTTCTGTGGCCCAGCCAGCCTCCAGCAGGTACTGATGGGAGAGCAGGAAGAACAGCATGAATAACAGATTATGCATAAATTAGGTTTTAGCTGATACGGTGCAAACCCTGCTAAAAAATAGATAAAAGGGAAGCAGCTAAGCATAAGGACAAGGTCATGCTGAAGCACTATGGAGGCAGTTAAGCCAAGCAATCGCTGCATTAGACTAGTTTAGATGCACTCGTTTTCATGGAATAAATGAAACTAACCTGAGGTATTTGTGTCGTCTTCCCACATCCAGTCTCACCAACTATGATTACAGTCTGGTGGCTTTCAACCAAGTATAGAATGTTGTTTCTGTGCTGCAGAAGAGATAAACACCTTTAATGCACTCAAATCAAACAAAATTCACACCCGATCATCTATAGTCTGTTAAAAGGGCTTTTTGATGTGCAAATGTAACAGAAAACCTTAAAAACAGGGAGTTTCTGCCTCTGTTTCTCTATGGAGAGGGCGGTGTTGGGGTTGAAGATGATGGGAGACACTGTGGTCTCTGAGGTGAGCTCCCGTTCCTCTGAGATCCCCGGTGCCTCCGTTCCTGGAAAACAGCAGACAGAAGAAACATTAGATGTTTGGTTTATTGTTAGGAGGAGCGGTGTTCCTTCCAACGGATAAACATGATTTCATCTTGGCAGGTAAACACGGGGACAGCAGCGGAGCTGAAGGCTGCAGAGACCCGCAGTCGCTGCGGATCAAACACCGCTACAGCAGAACCGACGTGCGCAGCTCTACAGACAGCAGCTGCTCTTTTAAGGATAGAAATGACCCCAAAAGCAGACCATATACTGTATTTATCAGTTTATTACACACTTACCCGGCTTCCAAAATTTCATCGTGGCGCGGGGAGCCGCCATCTTGGCTTGTACGTCACTTTATTATTCCCCCTCGAACTAATGTAATGACGTAAGGATCCGGGCTTTTCTTTTTTCTTCTTCTAAGTTTATGAATGTCAGGGAAGTTTAACTTTATAATTCGTTCTTTACTTTTTTACTTTAAAATACAAGAATACGACGTTGTTTTTTTCTTTAAACTGTAAAATTTGTTTGATATTACTTTACTAACTTGATTTACTTAATAAGAAAAAAATCCATATATAAATGTACGTTTATAACTCATATTTCAGATTCAAATGAGTTTTAACTTGACTGTTTATCTGTAATCTGACCTGCTTAAGGGGTTCAATTCAATTCAAAAATACTTTATTAATCCCAGAGGGAAATTGATTGCTGTAGTAGCTCAGAATAATAATAATAATAATAAGTCATCAAAGAGTTATTGTATATTACAATGACTGTTGGCAGGAAGGATCTCCAGTAGTGGTTAGTGTTTCAGCGAAACTGAAGAAGCCCGTGACTGAAGACACTCTTCTGTTGTCCATAATTTTCTTGATTCTCTGGAGGATCCTTCTTTACATTATCTCCTCCAGCGGTTCCGAAACTCTGGCTGAGTCCTTGAAAGGGCTTGGAGTTCCTCCATCTTGTTGGCCAGTGATCTCACATTGCCCATTATGATCGATGGAAGAGATGGTTTGAATTTCCTCTTTCTCTATCTCCATTTTGCTCCAGCTCTGCATCCACACTTCTTGCGTTTTAGCTCATTTGGGATTTGTGGCTTCAAATGAGGTATTATTTCAGCCTTTCCAATGTTAATCAGCTGCTCCCGATTGTAAACCAGCTTGTTGCCATGGTTACGCATCATAACAAATGCTCAAAAAGTGAAAAAAGCTAAAAATTAGCAGTAAAAATCTTCCAAGCTTCACAGCACCCCAAACAGAAAAGTAAAGTATCCAAAAATATACAGTTTTTCTTAAGAAACTAGAAGAAAAAATGTCCAAGAAAAGGCTAAACTTACACATAGTGAACAGAGCTACTCCAACATGCAGCCACCCAGAGCAGCGCAGTTCCGGAAAGAAAGGTTGTTGTTTATTTTGCTTTTTCCAGCAGGTGTATTTTATATAAATGATAAAACCAGTTTACCTTGAGGGATGTTAAAGTCTCCCAGTAAAGCACAGGAAACACTTCAGATAAATCTGAAAGTCTAAACATGTCAGATGTTGGGCTGGGTTGTTTGTGGGTAGTTTTATTACCTGCTAGAGCTGCTCTCTGGAAGACTAAATTCAGCAAACACAGAGACCGCAGAGAAAAGTTCCTACTCACTCGAGATGAAACATATACTGAAGTCTGAAAGGTTCTAGCCTTAATATATAAATATAATATATAATATATAAAGCATTTTAAATGATGCACCTGAGCTGTAACTATGGTAACGCAAGATTCCATAGCTTTACCATATTGACAGTCTATCATAGGTGACAGACAGCGCTCCATAGGGAGCCTAAATCACACCAATCTACTTCTGGACCACGGGTCCCCAGAAAAACAAAAAAAAATGAATGCAAGTCAACAGGGCTAAAGACGCTATTTTCTAATTCTGCTTGTTACGTGCCATGGATTTCACATATGATGTCCGTGAAGATGCATTTTAATACCAAGAACGCGCTTATTTTCGAAAGGGGGGGAGACGTTATTTTAAGTTTTGTGTAATAAGTTCAGGATTACAAATGCACGTTATGAAAATGACATCATCGAAGCAGACATGGAGAAAAACAAGGGAAAATGGCAGAGATTGTGTGGTGACGTCATATATGCAACGTGACGATGTCGGATTTGTAGTCATGCTAACATCGAACTTTTACAAGCTGATAAATTTCAAAGTACGTGAATGGCGTGATTGAAACACCCATCGTTGGATTACATTTAAATTGAAGTACAACATATGTGTGATCCAGGACGTAAGGCAAAGCAATTAGAAAATAGCGTTTTTAGCCCCGTTGACTTGCATTCATGTTTTCGTTCTTCCGGGGACCCATGAGCCAACCGGGAAGAGAGGAGACCTAGGCTCCCTATTGTAGTGAAGTAGGAAGTAAAGATAATAGCTTTAAAATTAGTGAAGTAAAAGTATAAAGTAGACCTAAAGAAAATAAGTAAAGTACAAATAAAGAAAGCTTTAAATATTATATTATATTCAATAACTTCATTACTTTGTAAAAGATTTATTTTTGTTTTGCATTTTAAATTCTGTCATCCTGTCCCTCTAAACGTGATTTAACATAAAAGGAGCCATCGTCAGGTGTACCTCTTATGCATAATAATGATCGGATCACAGACCAGATGTTTGATGATGTAGAAATATATTTAATAAAAAGATATCAGAACTTAAAGAAGATGATACAATCCTCTTCAGACAATTAACAAACCGTTTGACATCAAAGAAATTTCTTTTTAGTCTTGATGCTCATATAGCAATAAAGGTTATAAATATAAACAGAGATTTCCGTTTTCCTGGTAGTGTTTAATCTAAGAGCAATGTGACAAAAACTATAAGTTACTTAGAAGTTAAATACGTACATAAAAATAACCTGCAGTTGAGCCTCTTGATATTCCTGTTTGCTAAATCAAGCCAAATGACTCTTCTATTAGCTGATGGAACCCTTTTTTAATTGTAAACAAGTCAAAATAGTTTGTTCACTTAATGTTATTAAAGTTATAACTTATTCACTGATGAAAAAGTGGCATTTATTTATATTTCTGTCAAACTGGTGCAGAAATAAAGGTCCCTTCTCCAGACACCACTACTGTACACGGCAGATAGCATGTTGGTCTAGTTTAGGTCCGAACAATTCCTCGAGTACCTCGAATAATTCGAGTACAAAAAAGCCTCGAGTCAAATACTCTGCCTCGAGGCTTCGTTTAATTCATGTTTAATTAATTCATGGCTTAGCAATTGCCCAGGGTCATGTTTCACCCGCACCAAAATAAGTGATGCACATACACGCTGCACTGAATGCACACGCGAGTAGCAAATGTAATAACTTTCTCTTAAGCCATTGGGGACAACATAAATACTGTAGAATAGTTTTCAATTACTTTTTGATTTCGAAATCCCTGAAAAACAGAACATTCATCTATTCACTATAGTGAGCAATAATTTTTAAAGTGTGCTGCCTATAATTACTTAAATAATATAAGAAATAAAGTTTTCGGTATAGCTTTAAGATAGAATATTACTGAACTTAAAAATAGTAAACAAATACTGTGTTAAGTGATTCTTTCACATCCAGGATCCCAAAACCGAAATTAGCCCAGACATCCAATTTAAATGTAACGGGTACATCTTTGATTACTGGTAATGTTGGCCCTGTATCCCTGTCCGCCTTTTCTGTTTTAAATTGGCGCTAGGACAACGCAGTGCGCATGTCATTGCAACTCTGCCCCCAGAAGTAATTATAAAACCTCAAAACTTTATTGCCCTGCATAGACATAGACCAGGGGTCGGCAACCTGTTCCCATCAAAGAGCCATTATTACCCGTTTCCCACAGTAAAGAAAACACTGAGAGCCACAGCAGCTGTGGCGTTGTGGGCGGGGCCTACCCTCAGACAGCAGAGCGCTGCTCACAACAGGTGACAGCAGCCGGTACCGGTCGCTCGTGTACGTCAAAGTTATCTTTCATAAGACGATAATCAATAAAACGATTTATATAAAATGGATCCAGAAGTTGTAGCCCGTCTCTGCCGACAATATTTAGATATTTTTCACCCTGTTGGTGGTTTTACTGAGCAGGTGTCATTTTTGTCATACGTTTCTTTTTAAAACATGTTTAGACTGTTCAGAATACAAATCCAGGCTCTGTCACGTTTGATTGTTGTAATTAAACTTTGTAGGTGGGGAAGGTCAGAAAAGGATCCGATCAATTTGTTTTTCCCTCATTTACAGTGACGGAGACAACGGTGCAGTGCGCCTGGCTCTGGTGTTAATCAAGTTTAATTTTATCTCTTTGCAACTATTTACACAAGAAAACAGAACAGTTAAAAGCAGGGCTTGTGTTGTGTTGACCGGATAGTTCCCATATTTGACTATTTATTTTGACGGAGAAAGAATAGAAAGAATTACCCTGACGCAAGCAGACGAACTGACACTTTATTCGTTTCGCACAGATGTAGCTAAATCACTCAAGAAATGATTCCCATCTGAGCTGGACATTGAGCTCAGCGCAGCTCGCTGTCAGCACGTACGTACGGCGCGAGCTGAAGATGTGGAGAGGGGCTTGGAGCACGTCGCAGAACCAGAGCGCATGCAGGAAGATTCCTCCGACTGAAGCGAGACTTGTCACTTAGAAAATGTTCCCTGATTATGAAACTTTGGCTGAATAGCGCTTATTCCTGTCTCCAATGTGGCGACACATCCAGGAGCTGAGGAGAATCCCAGAATCTCACATCCTCTTCAGCTCAGAAAGCACCGATATAATTATGCACAAGCGTGACGCGTCAACCCGGTCTCACAGTAAGACCTGGTTGGACCTGTTCAGGTTTACGCAGACAATCTTTACATTTAGAATTGGCATACAGATGTAAAATTAATGCAGTAAAATATAAAGCATTTTATTTAAATATCCATTCATTATTTTACAAGCACAGAGAGCCGCATCAGATGGATGGAAGAGCCACATTAAGCTCCAGAGCAGCGGTTGCCGACCCCCGACACAGACATAGGGAGAGAATCTCATTATGTCACGTTGCTGCATCGATGCGGAATCATGCACGGCTGAATCACGATGCATCTTAGAATCGATCATTTTTCCCACCTCTAGTTTTTACTAGGGATGCACCGATACCGATACTGGTATCGGTAAAAGTTAACCGATACCAGGAACCGATACCAATGCAGTTGCTTGAAAATGGCTTCACTGTGAACTTTCTGTTCACCTAATATTTTAGTTCAGCATAACTTGACATAACCACGGCAAACATGCTTTCTCGACAATCCTTGTTATTGTGTGAGAAAAAAGTGTAGAAATTAAAACGAACGTGTGTTAATAGGGAAATAGCTGGCGA